TCTGACCGGAGGACCAAATTGACTACGATTTAAAGATTTGAAGGACCCAATTGAATAAAATTGACAGTGAGGGACCATATTGTAGATCGGGAAACAATTGAGGGGCCAAAAATGCGATTTTTCCATTTATTAATGGTAACTTAGGTATATAATGTGTTAATTGTAGTAGTTGTAATAGGTACATAATTTATTATTGTAGGTAGATAATATATTAACTGCACTATTATAGTACATACATAATTTATTAATTGAAGGTACATAATATGTTAACTGTAGATAGATAATATGAATGTAGTTTTGGACTACACTCCACAATGCAAGGTGGACCGTACCATGGTCCTTGGTGTAACAATTGTATGAAGACTATTTCGTTCTTTATCAAATTTTATGATCTATACTAGTTCTTTTACGCGCTTTGCGCGAATGGAATAATGCCCAATGATTATTTTTAAATAAGTATTTCAAAGTATATCAATGTAATATTATATCGGAGATGTTCATGCATAGGTAAATAAATATTGAATTTGTTTATTTAAATCGGTAATTTAAAGTATATAAATGCAAGATAATATATGAAAGATTGATTATATTGTCACTAAAATAAATGTTTGCAACTTTGTAATAACACGCTAGTCTAAATACTTAGTCTAAAAACGATAGTCTAAATAAATACTACTTTTGGTTTAAATTTCTCTAATTCTTCTTAATTCTCTTTTGGGTAGCATTGTCATTGTCTTCATCTTCAGTACATGTCTTCTTTTTTTATTGGTGGTGTGTCATGCAATGGTGAAAAAATCGCTAGGCGCCTGGGGACCGCCTAGAGCGCCTAGGCGGACGCCTAAAACGCCTAGGCAAGCGCCTAGGAGGCCGACCACTTAGCGCCTAGGCACCGATTAATCGGCACCTAGGCGCAATTTTTGCAACACTAGTGTCATGTACAATTGTGTTACTGGTGGTAGCATAGATGGATTCATCATGCAATGAGATTATGGTGAATGAAGCTTTAGATTTGCCTTGTTGTGTATATGATGAGATCTTACTTGTACTATTAACTCTTTATCTTACAAGCACCTGGCCTATTGATATTTGGTAGTGGTAGTTTTTCCCCTACATGTTTCATTCTTCCAAAAGGCTGAACCCCAACCCTAAGGGCCTCCCACACTCCGACCCGACAGAGCATTTGGGAGGATGTAAATCATGGTAACCCAACTGAACATGAACCACAGAGGCTAGACGGGTGCTCACTGCGCACAAGGAACCCCCCTCACTTTGAGGGGTAGTTCCCACACTGCCGCTGGTGAGACTCGATCCCTGGTCATTCTTCCAAAGTTTCCCCTACATGTTTCATGCGTTGTGAGATGTGTGTCATAGGTTATCATGTGAAAGTATTGAACAAAATATTAATATTTATTATATTTGTATAAAATACTTGGTAAATATATATATATATATATATATATATATATATATATATATATATATATATAACATATTTTGTATTATAACATTGATATTTAATTACAAGATAATGTAAAAAGAAGACAATTGACAATGTAGTGAATATAATAAATTAATAAATTTGAAGGTAATGAATCTTTGAATTGTAGAAAATAAAGATAATATAACTAATGAAATTATATCTCTTTTTAAATTTTTTATAATGAATAATTTTTTTAAAATAAAGGCATCATAGACATCTAATTCTAAATTAATTAAATGCATATGTATTTTTTTGTTGTAGCTACTAATTTATTTTTAATTTAATAAGAGTAATAAAGTGGCGTACATATTTTTCATCAACAATAATGAAATTATTGATTTTTTTAATTTACATTCGTTGTCGAGACAAATTGTTTTGGGAGTTTATCAATGACAATTGTTACAATTCCTGTCAATTGAGGATAATAATAAATAATTCAAAATATATAGTTACAATAGATATTGTTATAATGATATAGTAAAAATTAACTTACAAATTTCTTTAGAAGTTTTTATGCATTGATAAAATTCTGATGTGTAAACTTGTTCAATTGGAGTCAGTGGGATGTCAACATTGTCAATTCTTTGAAAAATGGTCCTACCATTTTAGAGTCCAGGTGTAATTGTATTTATGATCAACAACTTTGTAGTTAGGTCGCGCAGATCTGACAACGATGTAAGAACAATTTGGTCCGATAAAAAAATAATAGTATAATATTTAAAAAATAATGTACAATTGTACCATTATAAAAATACATACAAAAAATATTAATATCTTAACGACCTAAATCATACAAATAATGCAAAAATATAATTGAAATATTAAGTTTTGTTTTGATCTAAATAATCAAAAGAAAATTAATTAAACGAAAAAAAAAAAAAAAAAAACTTAACCTATTTTTTTTTTAAATGCATAAAAATCAAATGATTTTTAAAGTTCTTGATTTATAATCTTTGATGCTTAACTTTGAATGTTATGTATTTAGTTGGACTAAGTATTTGACCAAAGTTTATGTTAAATTTTATATTGTATATTTTTTTAATACATTTTAACATATTCGTAGTATATGTTTAACAATTATGCCAACTCTAATTGAGATAGGGTTGAAACTTAAGACCTTTCTTATAGAAATTAATGAGTAAGTTAAAAATAATAAATAGTTAACGGAATATTCCGTTACTAAATTTTATACTAACGGAATTTGGGTTATTTAAGGGAAGAAAATAATATAATAGAGGGTAAATAAGGAAAATCATTAAAAAAATACTAAAATCAAAATAATATGAATCATTCATTTTAAGAAACAATATTAACGACATTTTTTTGTTCCAGTTAAGGGCCTAACATTATTGGCTCTTATTAGAATTGTAGATGTAGATTGTAGATGTAGATGTAGATATATTATGGTTGATCCAAATGTAGCAATAGTTTATTCACCCATATTGTTAGGAAAAATTGCACTTTTCGTTTCTAAGTTATACGATAATTGTAGAATTCGTCCCTAATTATTGGTCATGCTCATATTTCGTCCCTAATTATTGGTCATGCTCATATTTCGTCCCTAAGTTATCATTGGCGTTGCACTTTTCGTCCATTTACTAACAAAACATTAAAGACAATTTCCAACTTTAGTATAGCTTAAGGATGAAAAGTGAGCACTAAAAGTTAATAAAATGACGAAAAGTGCAACGTCAATGGTAGCTTATGAATGAAAAGTGAGCACAACCAACACTTAGGGACGAATTCTACAATTACCTTATAATCTAGGGATAAAAAATACAATTTTCTCTAATTGTTACTAAATATTTTTAATAGAGGTGTGCAAAAACCGACCCACCCGAATTACCCGACCGACCCGAACCCGTTTAAGCTCTATTTGGGGCAATCCGAACCCGAACAGCATGAACCGAACCGATGGTACGAAAATAAGCCGGTTTGGAGGAGGCAGGTTGGGGCTTATAAATTCCCCCCCCCCCCCCCCGAACCCGTCCGATTACCCGAATTAGGGTAAGGGTTCGTTTACCCTAAGGTATACGACGTCGTCCTAGCGATGTATATATGTGTTGCGTTCGATGGAAACCCTAGCCATTCCACTCATTTGCGCAGCTTCCTCTTCTTTCTTCTGACCTCTGAGAACTCTCTGGAAACCCTAGTCATTCCACTCGTTCTCTCGTGAGTCTCGTCTTTCTCATCTGAAAATCTGAAATCTGAAACTAGTTCTCTCATGAGTTTCTTCTCCAGTTCTCTGATTCTGTGAGAGTGTGAGACGCTGAGTTCTCTCGTTCTCTCTGAGTTTCTTCTAGAGACTGAGAGTGATATTGTTCGATGGAAGCTGAGAGTGTGAGTCTCCGGTGGAAGCTAGGTAATATTGTTCGATGGAAGCCCTATTCTGGACGACCGGTGTCCGGTGGCCGGTGCGGTGGATTGTAGAGTGCTGTCACGGTCTAACGGATTTGAAGCCCTTTGTTCTCGGGGGTTTGATTTGGAGAAATGAAGTAATCTCTAAACCCTAATCTTAGACTTACTTAGATTATACTCTTATATGTTGTGATACTTTGGTGTTAGTTATGATTGTATGATTCTGATGACTGTGACAATGTGAATCTATTGAGAAGTTCCGGATTCTGATGTCACTTGTCCCTTATTTGTGAATTTTTTATCCTTTGATTAGGGTTTCTATGATTATGTCATTTATGTGGACTGTGACACTGTGAATCTGTTGAGAAGTTCCGGATTTTGATGTCACTTGTCCCTTAGTTGTGAATTTTTGATCCTTTGATTAGGGTTTCTATGATTATGTCATTTATGTGGACTGTGACAATGTGAATCTGTTGAGAAGTTCTGGATTCTGATGTCACTTGTCCCTTAGTTGTGAATTTTTGATCCTTTGATTAGGGTTTCTATGATTATGTCATTTATGTGGACTGTGACAATGTGAATCTGTTGAGAAGTTCTGGATTCTGATGTCACTTGTCCCTTAGTTGTGAATTTTTGATCCTTTGATTTGGGTTTCTATGAGTATGTGGATTGTGATTGTATGATTTGTCTGTATTGTTTGTGGAAGCCCCTAAGTCCCTAACCCAGTAACCCCTGTTGAGTGTTGGATGTTGGATGTTGCCTGTGTTGGTGAAAATGGTGGATTGGTGGAAGCCCCAATTGTAACTACCAACTCTTAAATCCAGTAAAATGATGAGAAAGTGTTCAGGCTAACAGGTTCCTGATTACTGGATTTCTTTGTCACTTTGTGTGATTTATGTGATATTGTGATTGTATCACTGTATGCCTGTATAGATTATAACTTATAAGTTATAAGTTTATGGATGTATGACCCTTAATAGTTAATTCCTTAAAGTCCCAACTATGAAATTTAGAAAAATGATGAAGTTAAGAGGTGCCTGTCTTCTGATTCTGGATTTCTCTATTTCTCTCAGTTATCTGTGACTATCTGAATATCTGTACTTGTTCAATATATTTCCCACTGAGTAGTGACCACTATACTGATGGTATTCTATTTACTTAGATGGAAAATATCATAGAGTCTGGAAGTCAACCTTCTAAATCTTCAATTGATGGGTCTACAGTGGTGGAAGGCCAAACTGTTATCACAAATAATCAACAGAATGTGCAACCTACTACTGCAGTTCCTGAGAAGAAGAGGAAGATTGTTGAGTCCAGATCTCCAGTGTGGGATCATTATGAAAAAATTAAGGATAGTACTGGTGTTACTATCAAAGGCAAGTGTATATATTGTGCCAAAATATATCAATGTCAGTCTAAAAAGCATGGTACTACCTCCTTGAGAAACCACATGCTTAGCTGTCTGAAAAACCCCCACTCAAAAGACACTAGACAATCACTGTTAACCTTTCAAGCTATTACAAATTCTGATGCATCTCCTGCTACTGTTGGTGAGTTAGGAACTTGGGTCTTTAACTAGGAAGCTATTAGGAGGGCCTTGGTTGAAATGTTTATAATTGATGAACTGCCTTTTAGATTTATGGAGGGTCCAGGGTTTAGGAAGTTCATTATGGTGGCTTGTCCTAGGTTTAAGATTCCATCTAGATGGACAATTAGTAGGGACATCAATCTGATTTATGAAGAGGAAAGATTGAAGTTGAAATGTGTTTTTAGGGGGAACACTCAAAGAGTCAGTATTACAACTGACACTTGGACTTCTATTCAGAGAATTAACTACATGGTAGTGACTGCCCATTTTATAGATGAAGAGTGGAAGCTTAACAAGAAGATTATCTCATTTGTCCCTATTATATCACATAAGGGTGAGGCTGTAGCAAAAGTCCTTGAAACCTGTTTGCTTGATTGGGGGATTAGGAATGTGTATAGTATAACTGTAGACAATGCTTCATCTAATGACACTGCTATAGGTTTTTTAAAAAAGAAATTGATGTCTTGGGGAACATCTATTGTGAAGGGCAAGTATATTCACATGAGATGTATTGCCCATATTCTGAACCTTGTTGTCCAAGATGGCCTGAAACAATGTGATTCTTCTGTGAAGAGGGTAAGGGAGGCTGTAAGATATGTGAGGAGTTCACCTGCTAGACTTAAGAAATTTAGGGACTTGGCTGAGTGGAATGGGATTGAACGGAAATCATCTTTGTGTCTAGATGTTCCAACCAGATGGAACTCTACATATCTTATGTTACAATCTACAATTATTTATGAGAAAGTGTTTGAGTCACTTGAAGAAAGTGATACTGCCTACAAATCAGATCTGTCTGATGTTGTTCCTACTTTTCTTGATTGGGAGTCTGTGAAGAGTTTGGTGGAGATCTTGAAATGTTTTTATGATATGACAATAAGAATTTCTGGTTCTTTATATGTCACTTCTAACACTTTCTTTTCTGAAATTTCTGATTTATACTGCCTCTTGAATGGCATGGTGGAAGCTGGAGGGTCTGTGAAACTGATGGGAGAAAATATGAAGGCTAAATTTGAGAAATATTGGGGGGATATAGATAAAATGAACTTGATGATATTCTTTGCAAACATTCTAGACCCAAGAGACAAGTTAGAGTACATGGCAACACAGATGAATCACATGTATGGTGAGGAAAAAGGTAAACCATACTATGAGAAAGTGATTGCAGCCTTGAAAGAGTTGTTTAATGATTATGCTGCCTCTACTCCTGTCTCTACTCCTGCCTCTACTCCTGTCTCTACTCCTGCCTCTACTCCTGTCAGTACTCCTACTGATTTTTCACAGTCTACAGTTGGGAGGCCCCAACATTTGTTAAAGTCACAGATTAAGAAACAATGATTGGAGAGTGGGGGAATGAAAAAAACTGAGTTAGAAATTTACCTTGCTGAGGCAATACTTGAAGAAGAAACCTCTTTTGACATACTTAGATGGTGGAAGTTAAATGCTGAAAGGTTTCCTATCCTTTCTAAGATAGCTAGGGATGTTTTAGCTATACCAATATCTACTGTTGCATCAGAATCTGCCTTCAGTACATCTGGTAGGGTTTTGGATCCTTTAGTTTGGAGTTCATTAACTCCTAAAATTGTGGAAGCTTTGGTCTGTACGCAGGATTGGCTTAGGCTATCAAATACCCCATTATCAATTGAGGAAAATCTGGAGGAATTGGAGAGATTTGAACAAGGTAACACATTCTATTCTATTTTTTTTAACAATTTGTTATTTCCTATTTTCCTTATAATTTTTTATTGTTGCAGAAATTGGTACTGATGGTGGCAGTGGAACTGGAAGGAGTGGTGGTTCTACACTTGCTACAATTCCTGTAATGCTATGCTTTGTACTTTATACTTTATACTGCTGTTTCTGTTTGAATGTATTCTGTAATACATTTATGCTGTTTGCCTGTTATTCATGACTCATGAGGCTTGCTTGCAGCTGGCTTGGTAACTAATTAAATTAGTTGCTGCCATTGTAAGTTGTTACATTGTTGGTAAGTTGGCACATTTTACAATTTTTTTATGTTTTATACTTTTATTATATTATAGGCATGATGAAAGCTTCCACCAATGATCTGAAAAATAAGGGATTAAGCTGGTATGTTGCTCCATCCTCATGGGGATGTTGTAGTAATTTCCCCTTAATCCTAACTTTGATATGGATAAAAAGCTTACTGAGCCAAGTTTATAAATTATAACTGTCTAATGATATTCTGTTGCTCAATAACTTATTTTTGCTATTTGGCATTTTGACTTATTGCTAACTTTGCTTAAGTTTTGAGTGTTTACAGGAAGATGAAGAACAATAGGAAGAGATTAGGAACTCTAGGAAGACTAGGAAGTAGGAACTTGGAATATTCAGTACTTTTTTGGCATGTAATTGTAATTTGCAAGGATAATTTTTTGACCTAAGTGCATATTCAGTAGTATTTTGGCTTGTAATTGCAGTTAGAGTAAAATGTAATTGCATGTATGTTATATTAACTTTTTATATTTACACTGTTTTGTTCAATTTTGTAGTGCTTTTCCTTTATTTCATTATTATCAAACTATCCGAAATTGGTTCGGATATCCGACCGAACCGACCCCAACCGAAGTTCAGTCAAACCGAATAGATTTCTTAGATTAAAAAATGAAATAGGATTTAAATAATGATATCCGAAATCCGAAAGGGTTGCCCATCCGCCCACCCGAACCGCCCCGATCCGACCGATGCACCCCCCTAATTTTTAACACACTGATATCAACCAATTCATTAGCGATCAAAAGAGCAAATACCAATTTTGGCCCCATGAGTATTAGCAAAATAACAGTTTTGGTCCACATGTTTAATTCCTACCATTTTCATCCACAATTATTGTTTTAGTACCAATTTTCATCCATGACTATTATTTTAGTGCCAAAATTCATCACGATGGTCACACCCCCGTTTAAGGCATGTCAAAATCTAAAATTTTTAAGGGTATTTTCGTCATTTTCAACTTAAGATCCCAATTTGAACATGAATAAAGGGATTTAAACCCCTAAGATCGATCTCAATTCGAAGTTCTCATTTTCATCCTACCTTAGTTTGAGGAAGAGGACTGTGAATTGAGATTTATCTTAGGGCTTAAATCCCTTTATTTATACTCAAATTGGGATCTTAATTTGAAAATGACAAAAATATCCTTAATAATTTCATATTTCGACATGTCTTAAACGAAGAAGTGACCGGCGTGATGAATTTTGACATTAAAACAGTAGCCGTGGATGAAAATTGGTAGGAATTAAATGTGGATCAAAATTGTCATTTTGCTAATACACGTAAGACCAAAATTGGTATTTGCTCCGATCAAAATTTTGAACATTAAAAATTAAATTCATGAAAATTTTCATAAAAATATTTTGTTGTAGATTAAATTAAAAATTATCCAAACTTTTCATGTACCCAAAAAAAAAAAAAAGGAAAAAAAAAATTACTTTCTTGGGTGAGGCTTAAGAGTCTGCAAAGGTCAATTTTGGTAAATTTTTAGTTTTTTTTAAATACTACTAATTCCGTTTCAATGTATTATCTGTTCATAACTACTTTCTTAACCTACTGAAACACAACCCACAACCTCTCATATGTGAAAATAATTGGTAAATTTTTAGTTAATAACCACAATAATAATAATCTATATCTATATCTATATCTATATATATATATATATATATATATATATATATATATATATATATAAAAGTAAAATCCTCCTAACAAATTTTCCCCCAAAAACTTTTGTAGTAAAACTTATTTGGTAAGTAATTGTCAAATGGAAATTAAATAAAATCTATTAATTGGTAATATTATATATGGTATTATATTCTATAATATAATATAATTGATAATATTATTGTTCAAGTATAATAAAAATATTATTGTTCAAGTATAAAATAAAATTAAAATAATAACAATAACAAACAATAACAACAACAACAACAACATCAACAACAACAACAACAACAACAAGAACAATAATAATAATAATAATAATAATAATAATAATAATAATAATAATAATAATAATAATAATAATAATAATAATAATAATAATAATAATCCAAACAAAACTATATACAAAATAAAATTAAAATTAAAAAAATAAAAATAAAAAGAAGACAAAGGTGGCTCCCCTTAGTAAATGATGTGGGATCATTTTGATCCCACATTGAGAATGTTTGGAAAGAGGAGCTTTGATCTCCTCTATATAAGAGGAGCAATGCTCCTCTTACAACCATACAATTGCTTGCCCATCAATGTGGGCAAGTATTGAGAAGTCCAAAGATTTTTTATAGTACTACTATTGACCCGACAAATTATGCTGTGAAATTGTGTCCACCTTGCAAGGTAGACATGGTTCAAAAATAGTTCATGATTATGAATATAATAATCAATATATAGTTCAAAAATTATGAACATATAGTTCTATAATTATGAACATAGTGTTGTGAAAAATATTATGAACACATAGTTATCTAATTATGAATATAGAGATTCAATAATTGTGAATATGAAGTTCAAAAATTATGAATATATATGTTTATAATTATGAACATATAATTCAATAACTATGAACATAGAGTTCTGTAATTATGAATATAGAGTTCAATAATTATGAATATGAAGTTCAAAGATTATGAATATATAGCTTTATAATAATGAACTTATAGTGTAGTATTTATGAACATAGAACTGTGTCCACCTTGCAAGGTGGACACGGTTCCACAACCTATTAAAACCCAACGTGTCAAATGGTTCTTATTTTAAAAAACTTATCTTAATGGATTCTTAATTATTTTTTAAATTTTTTTTAATTTATCAGGGGTTTGGGAAAAGATTAACCAAAAATGTATATGAGTTGTTTTAGTTTTTAGTAGTTTCGAGCAAATTGTTAAATTATTAAATAATATTTTTGGTATTTTGATAAAATATAAAATGTTAAACAAACGAATTTCTTAAAATTTTGCCGAATTTGCCAAATAATCAAATTACAATAACAACAACAACAACAACAATAATAATAATAATCCAAACAAAATTATATACAAAATAAAATTAAAATTAAAAACCAAAAAAAAAAAAAAAAAAAAACAAAGGGGAGTCACGGGCTCCCTTTGTAAATGATTTTGAGATCATTTTTATCACACACTGAAAATGTTTGAAAATAGAGAGCTCCTCTAATATAGAGGAGCAATGATCCCCTTACAAAGATAATTTCTTGCCCATCAATGTGGGCAAGTATTGAGATGTCAAAAGGTTCTTATTTAAGAAGTTTCAACTTTGTCTTCTTATTTTAGTTATTATTTATTTATTTATTATTAATGGGGGTTGTGAAAGATTAACACAAAATGTATGTGTTGTATTAGTTTTTAGCCATTTGGAACAAATTTATTTATTTATTATTAATGGGGGTTGTGAAAGATTAACACAAAATGTATGTGTTGTATTAGTTTTTAGCCATTTGGAACAAATTACTGAGTTACTATATAATTTTTTTGGGGGTTTTGATTAAAGTTAAAATGTTAAAATGACGAATTGGTTAAAATTTTTGCGAATTTATCAACAATCAAATAAATAATAATAATAATAATAATAATAATAATAATAATAATATATAATATAATAATAGTAATCCAAACAAAACGATATACAAAATAAAATTAAAACTAAAATAAATAAGAAAAAGACAAAAGGGTGCCACGGACTCCCCTTTGTAAATGATGTTGGATCATTTGATCCCACATTGAAAATGTTTAGAAAAGGAGCTCTTGAGCTCCTATATATAAGAGGAGCAATGCTCCTTTTACAAACATAATTGCTTGTCCATCAATGTGGGCAAGTATTGAGAAGTCCAAAGATTATTTTTTTGTACTATTGACACGATAAATTATGATGTGGAATTGTGTCCACCTTGCAAGGTAGACACGATTCCATTGTTCATAATTATGAATATATAGTTCAACAATTATGAACATATAGTTCTATAATTATGAACATAGTGTTGTGAGCATAATTATGAATTGTGAATATATAGTTATGTAATTATGAATATAGAGATTCAAAGCGTATTTGGTAAGTAAATGAACATATAGTTTAGTAATTATAAACATGGAATTGTGTACACCTTGCAAGGTGGACACAGTTCCATAGCATAACTATTCGTGTACACTTTCTCAACCTATTGAAGACTAACGTGTCAAAATGCTTTTATTTAAGAAACCTTATTGTAATGACTTCTTATTTTAGTTTTTTTTTTTTAAAAAAAAATTTAATTTATTAGGGGGTTTAAGAAAGATTAACCCAAAACGTATATGGGTTGTTTTAGG